TTCCATTTCTTCATCCTCTTAGCTGATTGCTCTTTGGGGGGGGCGTGCATGCGCATGCTCGCGCAATCACGCACCGAACTGGTACCGACTAAAGTAGGATCCCACTACTGCTTCAGGGTCTATGTTTGGCCTTCCATCTGGATGATATTGTTGCTAGAAATAATAGCCTAAATAGTCAGACTCTCCATGGAAGGTCTTATAGTCTTTCAAACTCTTTCTTTAGACATGGGCACCCAACATAACATCTCTGGTTGTCTAAAGCTTCTTCCTTGATTATCATCACCAGGTTCCACGCCCACCACTGATCCTTTTTAAGTCTACCTCCCCACCCTTAAAGAAGTTAAAATGTGTCCATTATTTGATTATCCTGAAGCACACTTGCTGGTAGATGAAATAAGAACAAACACATATAAGAATATTCCCCATGTTACATATCTTTAAATAAGCTATGTGAAGATGAGGTAATTCAAAATAGGTTCATTAAAACTGTATGTCTTAAAAATTCAGTGGGATTTTTGTCAATTGGTTAAAAGTGACCTAAAATTAAACTAATAGGATCAGGAGTTTAATTTATAACAGTATGAAAAAATGTGTTCTATACAGGAGATTAGATACGGACAGCCTGACTGCCCAGGGTTACATGTGGCCCCCAAATGTATTTTTGTGGATCCTGAAATTGTTGGCAGGATATTGTTTCATGTTTGTTTTAATCATTGTTATGAATCAGATTTTAGAAATTTACCAAATAACCCATTTTAATTTTTCCTCTATTTTTGGCCCACATATTCCATGCCTGCACTTCAAAACTCTTTCTTATTTCCAAGCCTTGCAGCACTTCTACTTATGAACCTAAATAGCTTTATTAAAAAAATACAAAGTATTTTCATATTTTTAATTTGTTGAAAATCTTGATTTTGATAAGTGTATCCGGTTTGTCTAATCTCCCGCATCAACAGAACAGGACCACAACTATTATTTGAATGCAAAAACAAAAATAGATCAGGCCTGCTTTTTCTCATCCCTCTTCTGGTACAAGATTTCATCCCTGGGTATATTTTGAATTACAAAATTTAATTCATAGTTGAATTATGCTGTCTTCAGTCTGATCTAAGTATGGTATATAAAATCATACATTGCAATGACTTACCTGTCAATGAATATTTCAGCTTCAACCATAACAACACAAGCACACAATAGATGCAAACTCAAGGTTAACCGCACCAAACTTGATTGCAGGAAATACGACTTCAGCAACAGAGTGGTCAGTGTCAGGAATACTCTACCTGACTCTGTGGTTTCTTCCCCAAACCCCAAAAACTTTCACCTTAGACTGTCTACTATTGACCTCACCCCTTTTCCTAAGAGGTCTGTAGGGGGCGTGCATAAGCGCATCAATGTGCTTACCGTCCCTGTCCTATTGTTTCTTTTATTTTTCTTATATGTACCCATTTCATGTATTCATAACTATGTATATATTTATACCTATTATCTTGTAAGTGGTTGACAAATAAAAATAAATAAATAAAATAAAATTTTCTTCAAGCAATTTGGAAAAAAAATGTCTTTTTCTATGATGTGGCATTTTGTCTGGACTGTTTTACTTCCTAACAGGCTCACCCCCAGCAGTACATTGAAATCAATGGTGGGATTCAAAAAATTTTTACTACCGGTTCTGTGGGCATGGCTTGGTGGGCGTGGCAGAGGAAGGATACTATAAAATCTCCAGTCAGAGGAAGTATTTGCTGGTTCTCAGAACTACTCAAAATTTCCACTACCGGTTCTCCAGAACTGGTCAGAACCTGCTGAATGATTGAAATGCTTTGCAGAAGACAAAACACCCCTTCAGTGTAACCAAAACTCTTCTATTCTAAGTTCACCTACCTGGTACCCCTGACAAATATTGCAGTGATTTAAAAAGCCACACAACACATAAAAGGTTGCTGGTTCAAAACCTGGAAGGCCTTTATTTTAATTATTACTTTCTTTCCACTAGTTTTTCCTAGCAGATTGAAGGCCTGAAAAAAAACATATAAGTGCAAGATCCCACCATTTCATTGTTTTGCCAGATAATTGAGGAAAAACAATTTCACACAGTGTGAACTCCTTTTACCTTAAGAAACTGGAAAAACAGTGAATGGTAATCTGCACTTACTTTAAAAAAGAAAAAAAGTCCAAAGGCTTTCAGCTACCTGGGGAAATCAAGCTAGTCGAGGAATAAAAAATAGTAATTTAAAGAAAAGGTTTCAAACCACCAACTTCTTACATCTTATGCAAATCTTCTACCTGGTGTGGTGTTTTAGTGCTAAGGTTAAGCAAAAGTCTAGAAGTTATTAATGTACAGAACATCTAATAAGAAAGGATTTTTAAAATAAAGGCAATGTTGTCTCTGCATGTATGTGCTGTATGTTCTGATGCTTTAACCTTCCAACAGAAAAGTTATTTTCTTGCATATAACTCAGCATTACACTGTGGAGTCCTTGATGCTCTCTGAGCTTGGTTGTCTGCTTGCGGATGTTTCATTACCCAATTAGGTAACAGTGAGTGTGGGGTTTGCTCCCTATTTATTTACAGTAGCTTGCCTTAATAATATCAGTGGGGGTATGATTTTCTTCTTGATTGTTCATTGATAAAGGTATTGTTTTCTGCTTCATTGTCTGGTGTTAATCCCTGCTCGTCTGGGTATTGACTGCTGGAGAGGATGTATTCCACTCTTTTTCTTTCCCTCTTAGTTTTTTTTTCTTATCGTTTTTGAGTGGGTGTAAATGTGATCAATCTCTATGTGTCTGTTGATGGCTTATTTGTTCTAAATACCATTTAATAGCATTTTTGGATTTACCTTGGTCTAGGATTTTCACAGCTTCCCCATTGAAACTATAGTTGAATCTGTCCATGTGTTGTGAGATTATGGACGTTTTGATGTATCTTATGGTAGCTAGTTGATGTTCATGGTTGCACTTTATTAGTCTTCTGCTTGCCTGCCTACATAGTGGCTCTTACAGTTCTTACACTTTACAGATAGTCCTCAACTTATGACCAATCACTTAATGATCATTTGAAATTACAACAGACTTTCCCAGAGTTACTTATGACCTGTTCTCAAAGTTATGACAGCTGCATATTCTCCCATGGTTGCATGATTGCATTCTGTGTGCTTGAGAAGTGCCTCACTTTTATAGTCATTTGCAGCATCCCATAGTCACATGATGATGACAGACAGACAGACAGACAGATAGATAGATAGATAGAGGATAGATGGATCTATGGATAGATAGATAGATAGATAGATAGATAGATAGATAGATAGATAGATAGATAGATAGACAGATGATAGATAGATTCAGATGGGTGGGGGGGTTGAGTTATCTCCAGTCAGGACTGAATATCTTGCAAGCTGTTGTCAAAATCTTTCAGTCCAGACTTGTTTTTCTTAAACTGATTTGAAATTAAGCTGCTATGAGTACAGGACAAGAGAGCCTAAATGACACATGCAAATGTCCCTTACATAATTTTTTTCACATTGCTTGAGGCTTGTAATAAATTTAGGATGGGTACAGAAACTAAGGTGATGAATTATCTCATTTTGAAAGACAACTTTTAATATATTGCTGAACATGCCTTTTATTTCCTTTTTCTTTGTTGGCTAAAGTTCAATTCAGTTATTTCCAGATTGTCAAGATGAAGCATCTTTCCCTTTTTATTTTCTTTTAATCTGTCTAATACAAAGTGACACAATAATTAGTGTTTATGGTGTGGCTAGAAGCTTAATTTTATAGAAGAAAAAAACACTGAAGTAAGTTTGAAAAGCTCAACTTAATATTTAGTTCTTGATTTTCCTGATATTCTAATTCCCTTATACACTGTACTTCATTTCTTTTCCCTTGAACCTATTTTTCCTCAATATTGTTGTCATTTATAGTCAGATATATAGTCAGCAATCAAATTGTACACATACTGTTGGTTTCTTAGAATTATTATTTGTGCTTTAGAAAGCTTTACAAATACATTTCACCATTTCTTTTTCCTTTTAATCCTGGTAAACTGTGAAATTAGCATATATGAAGAGATGACAAATAGATAGATAGTTAGATGAGAGAGATATTAGAGAGAGAGAGAGAGAGAGATGAGAGGATAGATAGATAGATAGATAGATAGATAGATAGATAGATAGATAGATAGATAGATAGATA